ACACACACACACACCTCTCCAGCCAGATGCACACAGGTGTCCCTGGAGCTCTATTCCCTGAAGCCAAACGTCAGTAAGACCCTGCAGATTTCCAGAAGAAGGAAGCCTCTTCTCTCTCCCCACTTTATTCAGTCTGCCTGCTAGCTTCCACACACAAGTCTGCTCTCCCCAGACAACCACCTAGCTGGAATTTAGTACATTTGGTCAAATGTACCCAACTCATTTTCACATGCAATAATGTGCCTTTCTGATCAGAATTCACATCCTTGCTTTCATACCTTCCTTCCTGCTACCTAAGAAGCAGGAAAGGACACAAACCCTCCCAGGCAGTCTAGAGGAAAGGCAGGCGTGACAAAGAACACAGACACAGTCTAATGACAGTTTGGCCTGCCTTCTATTCCTTAATTTTCTTGATAAAAAAGAGGAATTAAAAGACACATATATCGAGGGAAACCTAAACAGAACAAAAAGACTTGTCTCCTCCCGTACTCACACAGTCATCACGACACCTGTACACAAATTACCTATATGAATATGCTTATTCATATTTTGTGTGAAATATGAAATTATTTTGCTGGCCTAATTTTCCGTTCTAAACAGTAAACTTTTTTCTACTAGAGTTTAATATGCTAATGCTTTGGGGGTGACTAGTATGCAGAGAAATTCCACAGTTTTTGCAACATAAATTCTATTTTTCTATCTTCTTTAATGTCAAATCAACATTTTTAGTTAGTCAGACAAAAGAATATCAACAATGACAGCCCTTTCTAGCTAAGAGTCACAAATAAAGCTACATCCTAAGAAGCTAAAAGGAAAGGAAAAAAAATCAACTCCTGCATTTATCAAGGTGCTTTCAATACCCAAAGACACCTTTGAACTGGGTTTGGTTGGTGGGTGCTTGTGTGTGTCCAATGTCATTTTTTGTAATATTTTCCTGTCCTATGAATATCTCCATTTTACAAGGAGAAAGATGGCTTTGAAATGTAGTGAGAAACAGGATTTGTTGAGAAAAAATGCCGGTAGGATATAGCCCTATTCATTAATAATACAGGTTTATTCATACATCATACAAACTGCTGAGACTCTCTCCTGTGATGTGAATTCCTGTATTATCAGGACACATTCGAATAGACTTGTAGGAAAATTTAAAAAGAAAAAAAATACTTGCAGAACAGAGTTGAAGTACAGGTTTCTTGTGCCTTTTGGTGATTTCTTTTTAAGAGGGAGAGAGGGAGACCTGATCTAAAACTCTTGGCTTTAGAGACAATAAAAGCTTCCAATTGTTTTAAAATAAAACAGAATTAGCAAACTTTTGTGATTGAAGAGAATGAAGACAAAAATTTAGTCCTAATAAGGCCTCCCACCTTCCAGGCAAGACATCTTAGACCCTAGTTCTAACCAGTATGGAAAGCTAAGAAAAATAATTTCCAGGATGAACTCTTGAAATCTGAATGGAAAAAAATGTTTTTAATTCTAAGGTTTGTTAAACAATATTTTCCACAGAAATCTCAAGGAATGAAATTAGCTTAGATACCCCAGTGTTTCAATGAAAATAAATATTTTTTACTATTTGAGCAGCTTAGTATCAGAATCACACTCAGTCAGGTTTTTTTAGGCCCAAGTGAGCCTCAGAACCTGAAAAGGAGAAAAGAAGGCATCTTGGGGAGTAACGGAAGCTGAGGTTCCCCCTCCTTTACCGGCTGCTGGGACCAAAGATCACATCTCCTTCCTATATGAAATGGCTATATGCTATTACAGAAAACACTAGATAAGAGAAAGTGAATCTGGAATACATGAATCGCTTTTTTGCCATCCCCAAACTAGCTGAGTTTTCATTAGAACTGCCATGGCTTCATAACCTCTTACCCTCCCGAACAGAAGCCAACCACCGAAACCTTGTCGCAGAAGAGATATATATATATATATATATATATATATATATATATATATGCACACATGTGTATGTGTGTATATGTGTATATATATATATATATATATATATATATATATAGAGAGAGAGAGAGAGAGAGAGAGAGAGAGAGAGAGACTTGTAGCATATATATATATGCTTTGGTATACAGGCTTTAAATATATATATACACATCCGTAGGTCTCAAAAATATCACCAGCAGCCCAAATTTGCCTTTATTTCAGGGGTGATTAAGACGATTATAATTATTAAAAGCTACCAAATTTCACTCCCTGGCTGCGGTCGCAGGGTGCACTAAAGGTGCTCGAGGCTGGCTAGCAGCAGGGCTCGGCCGGTTCGCGTGCCCGGCGCCAACGCTGCATGTGAGTCTGTATCCTTAACTTGCACATTTCCCCGCCTAAGGGAGGATAATGAACTCTTTTCCTAATTTGTAAATATATCTTCTTTAGTCGCTCTGGGGATGGCGGGGAAGAGGCCTGGGTCATGAACCTGAGGAGGTCAAGGCTCCGACCTTGCTTGGGTCTCTCTCATTAAACAAGGGACAGTGGGTAACTGCGTCTGCGGGTTTCTCCGGTTCCCCAGAAAAAAAGGGGAATGCTTGTGTGCCTGAGTGTTCAGTTTCATCCTACAATTCTCTCAGGGGTCTCCAGAAAGCGTGACTTTGTCTTCCCCAGGGCGGACGAGGCCTAGAGCAGTCCGCAGAGCCTTGGGTGCAGTTTCCCGCGGCCTTCCAAGTCCATCGAGCCGGGCACCCCTGCCCAGGGCAGCCCTGACGGCCCAGGCGAGGTACCCGTGTGGCCAGTAGGTGTCGCTGTTCCCCTGCCGGCGGGAGCCAGGAGCCCCGCGCGGGCCCCGGCTCCACTCAGCCTTCGGCTCCCTGCAGGTTCGCAGACTCACCAGAGCTCCAGAGACAGGGAAGCTCTTCCCACCCCTGCCCCGGGACCATGCCCGTGCTCACCTTGCTACTACCGCAGCGACAATGCCGGCCTAAGGAAGTACTTTCGGGGAGAGAAAGGAGAGACGGGTCTGTTATGGCGAAACAAGGGCCCCGACGGAAGAGGCTCCCAGCCCGCTTCTCTCGCGGCTGCCAACTCTCCCTCCTTTCTCTTCACGTGCCATGGGCGGCGGTGGGGCACTGAGGGCCTCCTGGTAAAATCCCAAGACAGGAGATTCAACCGGGGTTCCATAAGGGCTTTGCAAATAAATGAGAGGTTGAAAATCCCAGCTTCGTGGGAGCTAGCTACAGAAAGAGTGGATTGGTTTTAATACTCTTGCTGAAGAAGAAGAAAAGAAGAGAAGAAGAAGAAGAAGAGGAAGAAGAAGAAGGAGGAGGAGGAGGAGGAGAAGTGGAGGTGAAGGACGAGGAGGAGGGGGAAGGAGAAGAGGAAGAAGAAGAAGAATGAGGAGGAGGAAGAAAAGAAGAAAGGAAGAAGAGGAGGACGAGGAGGAGAAGGAAGAGGAGGACGAGGAGGAGGAGGAGAAAGAAACCTGGGCCTGGCTACAGGCATGGGCTACATACCACCTTGTACACACGTATGAACGCAGAAATGCCGGGTAACCGCGATCGCCATCCCCTCCCCAGGCCAAGGAAGGAGCCAGTATTTCGAATGTGGTTGTCTTCCCCAAAGCGTTGCTTGCCAAGTATTATTTCCTCTTGGAAATCCTAGCAGTTAGCAAATCTCTGGAATCTGCATTGAAATGCTAGGTATTGAGAATTCTAGGCCCTTCTCTGGCTTCCTGCGGCTCCTGGCCTTCGGCCTCAGTGTACCGAGTAAGACATTATTAATCAGAGGCGTTCTTTTTGTATGTGTTTCAAAAGAAGGGCGATTGGCTTATAATACCGAAAGGGACACTTACAGTGTGTACATCGTATAGGTGACTAGGTGACTGGAGACTTTAGTATGATTCTGATTGTTTTGTACAGGGAAATCACTGCTCTGATTTAAGGATGGGGAGAAGGAGACCGAACTGAACAGGCGAAATTCAAAACCAGGTGTTATTCAGAGTTAGTATGCAAAATAGAACTGGCTATGTATTTAAATTAACATCTAAAATCGTATCTTCAGTCAAAATGTGGTGACATTTTACAGTACAATTTTTAAAAAGATTCACATTTTATCTGTAAAATTTGGGTAAAAGGAATAAATTCGTGAAGAGGAAAAAGAACTACAATAAAATTTGAAACAGGAAGAAAGAAAAATTTTCACTTAAAGTCCAAAATATTTCGGAACACATTTGTTCCTTGTCCTGGGCCGCCGCCGTCTCATCATCTCAAAGGACATAGTTGGACAACTGCTGAATCTTTAAGACAAGCCTTAATTTTTACCGTGAGGTAGCCAACATCATCTTTAAATGTCATATACTTTTCGCTATGATGTTTAAAATGGGCTTCTTTCTGTTAAGTCCCATATCCGTTATACAATTCTAAATAATTACTTCTGATTGAGACGGCAAATTAATCATTCGGTGACGTGGTGGTGGCCGGGCGCGGGGGGGGGAGAAACACGTGTCTCATTGGAGATTGTGAAGTTCAGTGAGGTGGTATTTTAGCTTGAAAAGTCCAAATTCAGATATTTGGATATTTCTCCCCCTCCCACCGTTTTCCTACCCCGTCTCAACCCTTTGGGCTCCCTTTCTCCTTTTTCTCTCTCTTTCTCGCTTCTGTCTTGCCTTTCCCCTTCACAGCGCCTCTCTTCTTTTCTCTCTCTTCTTTTCCTCCTCTCTTCTCTCTCTCTCCTCTCATTTATTGTCTGATTCTATGTCAAGTTAATAGAAAAGTAGCAAGTGGGAGGCTCAGTACCCTTAGCAGACCCTCTGTCTCTCCGCCGCGTGAAGGGCACTTTGGGGAGGTGTCAGTCGCTGCCAGGTTACCCGTCAGAGTGGTGGCTCTTAGTGCAGGGCGTGCAGCTCACGGAGTTGGGGTCTGCGCGGGGTTGGGGGGCTTATTCAAATACCGCCCGCTGCTGCTGTGATTCGCAGGGACTCGGCCTCCATATGGTAATGCGGGGCGGGGGGTTGGGGGAGGCGCAGAAGGGAGGGGAGGGGAGGGGAGGATGGGGGTGAGGGCGGAGTGGGAGGGGGCTCCGGCACTGCGCGCTCGACTGCCGGGCTGGGACAGAGCACCGGGACTCGCGGCGGCAGCGGCAGCGACGCTACCCACCCTCTTCCCCAACACCCACCGAGCCAGCGAGCCACCGAGCCACAGGCCCTCGGGGTAAGCCACAGCGCGCACACGACGATGACGGTTCACATGCTTCGGGTCACTACCGTGCGCCAAAGAGGGAGATTAGAAACAGAAAAGGAGATTACAGAGAGATCAGAGATAAGAGGTGTACCTCTCTGTGTTCCTTGTCACACAGCGCGCGCGCACATACACACGCATCTGTACACACATGCATGCTCAGACAGCTGTACACGCACGCATTCCTTGCTACTGCCTTCTAAATATATGCACCGACACTCTATGCCCTGCTACGTGGCCGGTGTGTTTGTCCTGATTCTACATAAAGGCAGGCAGGTATGTGCGAGAGAGACTCCAGGCAGGAACAAACAGTCAGGCACAATTTAACTGCAGCCAAACTTAAAGAGACATTGAACCTGCCGAATTGTTTCACTAAGCCAGGTGCCCCCCCCAGAAATCGGCTATTCTGCAACCAGTTGTGGAATCCTGCAATTATTCATAAAATGTGCTGAAAATTTATTTTAGGAAACATAATCTTGCTATATATGGCAAGGAAAGGGCGAACCTGAAGGATGAGTATGTTTCCGATTTTTAATGTTATACGTGTAGCCATCTGACCACTTTTTATTGGGTGACAGATCATATGAGCACTTCGGTGTAGGTTTGGAAAAACTACAGCCAGAGGTAAGGCTGGAAATGCCGTAAGAGTTAAGGGTGCTGAAAATGGATGCTGGATAGTCCAGCATGAAAGATGGCATACAGCTTTAGGTTTGAAATGAGGGGGAATACATGTGAATATTTACACATGAAAGCCATTGGGGAGGGCTGAATCTTGGCTTGAGTATCTGTGCAGGTAAGTCATTCATAAGAAAACTAATTACCTGTGCATGTACTTGGACTTGTTTAATTGAATAAGCTGCATGTGTGCATATTTGCTCTTCTTTGAAGCTATGCAATTATAGATTGAGTCTTTTTAAAATTATAGCTTTGGGGGAATTTAAAAAGTGCTATATATATATATATATATATATATATGTATATTCCACTAGCTATCATGCTGCATAGCTATATTGCCAAGAAAGAGATCCGATGCTATAAACAAGATTCCCATTGCTTGAAATCTAACTCAAGGCCTGTATATTTTAAGGCACATTAACTGGTTTAATATAGTCAACTGTTTTATTTGTGTATTTGTTTTCATTTCAAAGTCAGGAATCAAGGATGCTTTTCAGCCAAGATAATGTGCCTTGTTTCCAGCCATATTAAGATAAAAATGAAACAGTAAATTTTGAATGCAGCCGATAAGGCACAACACACAACATGGTTGAAAATGTCTTCCTTGCAGAAGGCTGTCCATTGCTGTGTCTAAACATTAAAAAAAAAAAAAAAATATATATATGTTTTGCAATAAGAAATGCTAGAAAGCAATAGGGCGGGGAGAGCCACACCTCTCAGGCAATCAGCACAAAAATTCTTTAGAAATCTTTGGAATCACTTCACTTATACATACATTATCTCAAAAGCACTGGCCCCAAACTGTGTTTCTGCTAATATGAAGTTAATTAGACAATCAAACTTTGAGCCTTGAGCAATGGACATTACAGCCCATCGAGGTATGTCAGGAAAGAAAAAAAATGTGTCTTGTCTTTTATGACCAAACCAGGAGGTTATACAGCTGGCATTGCATACATGACAGATGTGCATATTTGTAACCTTAAATAAACAAGCAGGGAGACAACTGTGTATATTATCTAGCAAGAGACAGCAGCAGACACTCGCCAAAAAAGACAGAAAGGGACAAGAGAGACAGAGAGACATAATAAAATAACAAAACAAAAAAAACCTCCAAAAACAAAACAAAAAAAAGGGGGGGGGGAGAGAAGGGGAACCAATAAAATGACAAAACCTGAAATTTTCGCGAATTAAAAAATGCAAATATACTTTTACATATGCATCAGTATTAAAAATAATACACGCTGGAACCAACAGGAGCGAGAGCAAGAAAAAGAGGAGGAGGAGGAGGTGGAGGAGGAGAAGGAGGAGGAGGAGAGGTGGTGGAGGAGGACGAGGAGGAGGAGGAGGAGGAGGAGGAGGAGGAAAGAATGGAGGCGCCGCGGAGCCCTGATTATGCACGGGCTGGAGCTGCCTCCTCTAACCTGTTCTTCTCCGAGCCGGGCAGCCGGCGGTCCTCAGCCGCCTACAGAACAGGAGCCGAAACAACCGTTCTCGAAGGCTACAGCGTTTATTTTTCTCTTTTGGGGGGTTTTGGCGGTTGTTTCAGGGGCTCACCAACTGGCCCCTTTAATTAAAAGCTTCAATAAAAGGCGATCGCGCCAGGAATGCTCCCGCTCCTCTCCGCGCAGGATTTGCATATTTTTTTAATGCCCTAATTTCCTTGATGTATGTAAATGTAGCCGGACGTAGAGGGAGACAGGGAGCTGACGTCAATGGACGTGACCTCGCAGCTAAACCTTGAACGTGAAGCCGGGATGGGGGAAAACACGGAGCGGCAGCCGGCGGAGCCCGAGAGCGCGGGCGGCTGCGGCGGCAGTAGCCGAGCCCAGGCCGGAGATGCCAAGGGGGCCAGTGCCCGTCCCCGGGGGAGGACAAGCCGCCGCCTTCTTTCTGCAACACGCGGCTCAGACTCGCCAGCCTTCCGGCCGCACTTGCAGACTCTTGCCCTGCGCTTCCAGCCCCACCAAACACACGTTCTTTTGCTTCCCTCAGAAAAGCAACACTCCCCCAAACAACAAACCAAAACCAACAGAAAAAAACAAATGTTTTAGACCAATGCTCGGGTAGCTTATCAGAAAGAAGACTCTGACCATGGAACATACATATTTTTTGGCTTCTCTCCACAAGAAGAGGAGGGGGAGACCACAGACAACAGCAAATCACTCCTAAAACACGATAACTACAAGTGTTCCCTGTAGGGAGAGGTAAATCGCCCAGCCGACTGGTGAAGGCTTTTCGTTTCGGTACTTATTTACCTGTGCACTCATTATGCGCGTCCGCTTCATTAACAGCAGGGTCATGAGCACGCTTTCTAATGTGATGGGAGTGCTGGTGTGTGTGTGTGTGTGTGTGTGTAGGTCCTTGCGCGAGTGAGCACCGAGGCAGGCACTCCGAGCAGAGAGAGATCAGTCTTTCCATGGCTACCTCTGGGACTATCTGCAGAGCCACGTAGGCCAGAGGTCCTAGGTTGGGATTCGAGTTCACCCCTTTAAAAAGAGAGGCCAGCAAAGGCTTCCCCTGGACAGCCAGGTTCTTCCCATTGCATTGTTTGGGGAAGGGGTCTTGAGGTGTGAGCCATTCCGTAGCCGTTGCCTTGCCGGATATGGCCTGGTGTTTTGCACTTGGAACTAAGCGGCCTCGGCGCAGAAGTAGTGCCTCCCAGAGACGCAGCCGAGGCCTTCTCGTTCCCCTCCTTCCGCCCGCGGCAGCCCTGCGCGCCGGCGTGTGCGTGACCGCGCACCGGGCTGCTGGCACCTCCCTGTGCACATCCGCCCCTCCTCTGCTCGCCACCTTCTCCTGGGCAGCTAAGAAATGGTCCTCGGCCTCTTCTGGGCCGGAGGGCAGAGCTGCGAGCAGGCAAGAAAGGGGCGCCGTGATGGGGACTTCTCCGCTCTGCCCTCGGCCACTGCGGCTGCGGTTTCAGCGTTCCACCTCGCAGCCCCAGCTTTGTTTTCCTGACATGCTCTTGGCCATTGGGCTCCACGCCTGCGAGGGGAGTGTGTGCGTGTGCGCGGGGGGCGGGCGCGCGCGGCGGGTGGGGGCTCTCCCGCCAAGGACACGCATGGCTGTCTGTCCTCCGGCTGCACTTGGCGGGAAAGCTAGGGGCCGCCGGCGGGGCTGCGCGCCAGCGGCTCTCATTACCGCCTCCCTACTCCCCCCGGGCCACATTTACATACGGGCCACTCTTCTGAATTTTTACGGCTCTCTTCCCCCTCCCGTACCCGGTCGCACGCGCGCAGGCTCGGAACAACCGCGCCGGGCGCTCAAGACACCCGCGCCCAGGCTGCGGCCAGTCCCGGGCGCGCAAACAGACCCGGAGGGGTAGACGGCACTCGGTGGGACGGATTCCTGCACCGCCTCCCCCGCACCCACGCGCCCACACCCCTGACAGCCTCCCCGCTTGTGTGGCAGGAAGCCCACCTTCCCCTCGAAGCCCCCACCCGTCTCTTTCTGCACACTTCCACCCCCACCCTCCGACATCTCTCCGTCTCTCCCTGGAAGACAGACAGACTCACGCGCGCGCTCTCGCGCTAGCTCTCGCGCTCGCGCGTACACACACACACACACACACACACACACACACGCTTTTTCTTCCTCCTCAAATAGATAGCCCCTATGGCACGTCCCTGGTACCTTTAGAATAACTCTAGAGTTTAGAGAATAAAAATCTTTAGAATGCATTGCTTGTCTTTAGACAAACACGTTTAACAACCACAACACAAACGGGGAGGAGTGAGGAAGGGGAGACTTGAACCAAAAGACCTTTCTTTTTTTAAAAAAAGTCTGCGAGTCAAAAGGTCATTCTCCAAGTTTGTAAATAAAATTGCAAAGGGAGTCCTTAAGAAAGGAGAGGAAAGAAGGGGGAGAAGGTTAGGAAGACCCGCAAGTTACATAAAACGGTGCATTGGAAAAACGACAGGGCGATTCTTTAAAAAAAATCTTAGGAAATCAAGAGGGGGAAAAAACTGGAAGAAAAAAGAAAAAGAGAAGAAAAGGTTAAAAAAAAAAAGCAAAAGAAGTTTCCAAAGAAATGTGTGCTTTGCATCCTACAATAGGAAAATGTAGCCATTGCCTTCCTTCAGACGAGAGACATTTCTAATTTGTTCCGTCTGTCAGGAGGGGACTATGAGAGGTTTGGGTGCAAATTCATTATCTCTGGCAACGCAGAACGTAGTGTGGGGACTGAAAAAGACCGTGGCAATGGATGAACAATAGGGCTTCAGTTCATCAGTAACAAAAGCAGTGGGGAAATTGGTTGAGTTTCAGAGCACGTCCTCCTCGGCAGAGGGGGTTGGACTAGACCTTGGACAGCCCCCCCCAAAAACTTGCCAAGCCTCGCACACACCACTTCACTCTCCACTCCGAGGCTCAGGGAGCAAGTGCCTGGCGTGGGGGGGAAAAGTTGGCTTTTTTTTCCTCCTTGGTCTTTTGCGCCCTTCTCTCTCTCCCCAGAAGGGAAGAACCATTTAAACTATTTTAGACGCAATCAACCAAGAATCACCATGTGGAATTGAGCGGCAGTTTTAAATGTACTGAGGAGAGGAATGATGAGAAAAACATTTTTTTTTTTTTTTTTTTTTTGAGACGCCGAAGGGAGCCTGATTGTGTGCTGCGGCCGTGGAGTGACTCTGGCTCTTGTCTTCCGGCAGGCGCCTCTGTTCCTGCCCAGCTGGATTTGGGGGGCAGCACTGCCTGGCGCAGGGAGATCAAGTGAGTATCGTGGCGGCCCTCAGGCTGCAGCTCGCCGGCGGCGCGGGGCCAGCAGTGCCCGCCGCGGCCTCGCGTTCCCACTCCTCACCTCGCCCGCTAGCCAGTGTCCGCAGAGCCCCGCTGCGGGCCGCTCCGAGGGCCAGTCCGGGGCTTTGCTTCAGCTAATTGATTGTGTGCCTCGGATGCTAAACCTGTTGATCTCGTGAGTTTTCTGAGCCAGTACTGTTAATTATCCAGCGGCTTGACCCCGAATCGCAGAGAGATGCCAGGAAATCTTCGCATTAGATAAGGGAATTTTGTATGTAATTTCTGATGATGGTGGGGGGGGGGGGGTCCCTTTTAAACCTACAGCAAAATGCAGTTGTGTTTTGCACTTCTGGATTCAGAATTAGCATTTTGAATAATTCGCCTCCCTTTAACCGCTCCAAAGTTGCAATTACCTGGCAATGAAACGAGGGTCTGATTAGATCCTGGTGGAAAACTTAGTACAGTAGCTAACTAGATCTGGTGGATTTCCACTTCCCTTTTCTCTTTGCCTTTTGGATTTGGGGAGGTAAGAGGCCGCTTTACAGGGTTATCCCAAGTTCAGATTCATCAAGAAGCAACCACCGTGGTTACTTATTGGTACTTGGAGAGGGTCAGCTTAAGACGCTTCTGGTATCCAAACGAAGCCGAGTCTTTGCGGTTTGCTTAGAGTCTAGACCCGGCTGAGGAAGGCAAGAACTCCTTTCTGTGGCCTGGAATTATCTGCAGGAACCCTGGGTGATGGGAACTCCGGCAATGTATTTGCATTAGTGTCTGCGGCGTTTTATCTTGCAAATGTACCCGCGGTGCTTGAATGGGGGACTGTCTTCAGGGGTCAGGACAGCAGTGGAATTGATCAGAAGTTAGACCCGAGGCCCTGTCAAGTCACGGCCATGGCCGGGGGCCCCTTTGGAGCTGTGGCTGCCTTGGGCCCAGAACCGCAGAGTCGAATTCCGTTTCCTCCCTTTCTTGGTGTCCACCTCTACCCACCACTCTCCTTTCTCCACCTTGGTACGGGTAATTAGGGCGCTGTCTCAGGAAGCGAGCTCCCACAGTCAGCATAATTAAACCAGGGCAATACTCTCATTTTGCAAAACCAATAGCCCCACCCCTCTAGTCTAAAATAACAATAAGCATTAAAAAATCATAAAAGAAAAGAAACCTATTTGGGGGATTATTGACTTCCTGAATCTTGGATTGAGAGGGAATGGGGGAAGGGAATTTTTAAAAAATCCACCACTTTACAGCAATCATGTTTTACATTATTCATTGATTTACTGGAGGAAAGAGCCAATCAGGAGCCATAGATGTGAATGCACCTCTCACTGTGCTGTGGCCTTACAGTAAACTATTTGCATCTTTCTAATGGAGTAGGTATTTATCCAGGGATTCCCATTGTTCGAAAGGCCTGGAAATTCAGTTCCTTAAACATTTAGAAAATGACTTTGTTCCATACTTAAAATCCTTACATGGAAAGACTCTCCTCTTTTGTATGGCAGGTTACAAGGTTCAAGTCCCTAATGTTTTTTAAGAGTCCCTCTTCCTTCCAAGCTAAAAATAAAAGAAGAAAGAAAAATTAATTTCCCAAACCCCTCCATATTCTGCATATTTTGCATTCACATTATCATGCATGTCTCCATTTAAATGCAAATTAGCATATTTAACCCTGTAGGTGCTGAGACCCAGGATACATTGTACTAGGGTTTTATGGAATTCTTGGAATTTTAAGGAATCATGGTAATAGCAATATTTTAAATGAAACCATATCTATATGATTTTATATATATACATATATATATATAAACTGTGATCATGTGTTTTCTTGACTATTTTTCAGATGAGACTGCAAAGAATCATAACATGAACAGAGAATTCAACCAACTAAAGGTAATTTTAAAATTTACATTTGACAAAATCAAAGTGATGTAGAAAATAGAGTATCTTACTCTATTTACTGGGTGGTAGGCCTGCAGTGGGTTGCATATCTCCTAATTCACGCTCTCAGTTTCTGTATGTGCAGCTTTCTCCCCTATAGGGAGCCTTTGTATATTATGTATCAAGCACAATACAAATATGACCTATAGCTCCCTGTAAAAAAGAAATTGGAGATACAGAATAAATCATAGAATACTTTTGTTAGAAAGTAAGCCAGTCAAGTACCTTGCCTGAACTATACAAGTCACTGTAAATTAAATGGCTTTTATGTAGAAAATGGTAGTCTTCACTGTACCAGTGGACTGTGGTTTACATGCATTTGAATCATACAAACGAAATATTAAAAGGGGATTTCAGTGATAGACCAATTCTTTATGCACTTGCAGTCTGAATAGGATTCAGAGGTGTTCTAAATATTGGTGACAAACCTAAAGTGTTTGAATTTATGAAATAGCATAATTCTGATCCAAGTACTGTGGAAAACATAACTTTTCACTTTTAAGTTAAACAGAGATTGTTTATTCCCAAGTAAACCAGAATGTTTCAATTCATGTTGCAACCATCTGGAGACCTATAAAAAGATTAGAAAACAAGCATGACAATCACGTCCTAATCTACTGGCCATTAATGGGAATTTATTCGTGAATGAGCAGGCAAACCGTTTAAATTCAGTATATCCTTCAGTATGCAGATTTCAAAACTGATATTCTGCTCATCTTAATAGCCTTTTGAAAGCAAAAATATCTGATATAACATATAGGTGTTAATAGTAGCTCTTAATGTGTGACAGACATTGCTAGGAATCTTTAGAGCTACACAGTTGTTTCATCCTGCACAATAATACAGTCTTTGAAATATGTGTGATAAACCATCATATATACCTTGGCAATATTCAAAATAAATCAGATGCTCTGTGTTAAGCCTTACTATGTAGTTTTCATTTCCAAATATCCTGAGAGATGGTGGATATTAAAATGTTTAATTGGCTATCTGGCTAATGAACAGACTGCCCATAATCCTAATGTTGATTGTTTTCACTTATTGGGGCTCCCATGATGAGTCTATGCTATATGTACCAGGCATGGGGACCAGGCCTGGAGTCACTTGATATAACTATGTGGCATTGCCCTAGAAGATGTTATTTTAAGACAGTATCTTCTATAACTTCTAATTGTAGAAGCATCTCAAATGTTCAGTGTCTTGGCTTTTATGATGGGTACTTTGGTTCTAAAAATGCATTTAGTTGCTTACTGTGGAAATATAGCCATGTTACTTTGCAAATTCACACAGATATGGGGGTGATAAACATACATAGACAAATGCATGACATCTCTTTGCTTCCACCAACCCCCACTTAGGTATATATAAAGCAAAAAGATATTCTAAACATTTCTGTGATTTCTTTGGTTTCGACTTAAGGAACTCATCTGACCAGATGCTTGCTTTATGTGTTACATGCCAAATCACTAATGATTCTGCTGTTGTGTCTTGGAAAGCAAGGCCACAATACTCTTACTCTTCCAAGACAGCAAAGCTTATTTGCGTTTTACATAATGTCTAAAGTGGAATGTGCCTCAGTGATATGTTACATTTTTATTTAGTAATTTATGTTGTGACCACACAGTTCAAGAAGGAACAGTAACTCCATGGGGGTGTATTTATCTGAATTAGTTTTTGGTTTGCTTGTGCATTTATATAACCCAATGCAGCCATTTTTGATTGTACCTCTTGTGCCATAATTTGATAAGAAAAATAGATGAACAATTTCAACAGCTTAGTCTTTTCTAATTAATCAGTACTGGAATGTTCACCAAAAAAGTAAATAAATAAAAAATCTAGGGAAAAGCTGGCATCTATATTACTAAATCATATCTTTAATTGGTGTGATATTGTAGTTTAGACTCTTGATTGTAGGCTTTTTCTAACTATTCTGATTTTCTTGTCAGTCTTTTCTATAGGGTTTACATATATGTGCTCTGTATGTAATTCAGTTAGCATGTTCAAATTCATGTCTTATCACTAAATTAAGGAAAGAGTGTATGTTAATTCCAAAAGTGTTTTAGTTGTTGGGGGAAAATAGTCAATCTATAGAAATAAGAGTATTGTGATAAACTAGTCATGTGTGCAATGAATATTAAGAAGTATTAAATTCTCTAATAGCATATATTTTAAAGAATAGCAACATGACCAAACATAAGTCAAAATTTTAAAAAGCAGTTCATAAGGTTCACCTTTGGTAAATATGAATCTTATGTAGATTGCCTTAGATGTTCTGTTGAGGGACATTTGAAAATTACAACTACACGTATTACAGATGTGTTAGACATAGTTTACTCATTACGAAGGTGAGAGAAGAAGAAAAGGACTCTTTGAAGTGATCATATTCACACTTTGAAAAGTTCTAAGAAAAGGAATGAGGCTAATTAATTAATAAAACAACATTCCCTCTAGATAGAAGAAAGGTGGGGGTGGGGAAGGGGAAGGTTATGCTCTTAACATCTAGGTGTTTTATATGTATTCTTCACGAGGTAACAATGCTTTTTTCATAGTTTCAGAAGCAAGACTAGTATATTTTCCTTTTGTATGAAAATTGATGTTTAAAACAATAGACAAAGGCTCAGCATTTTTATTACAGCAGAGTTGTGTATAGAATTAGAAACTATTGCTGCAATGTTTACCTGCGCTGCATTCTAACGCACACACCCTACATATGCAGTCATTTTTTAAAAACCAGGATGAAGTCTGCTTGCTTAGAGCATTCAGTCTAAACTTACAGAACAAAATACGCTGCCCTATCGCCATGGTATGTATATACAAAACGTAACTGAGCTGTGAAGCCATTAAAAATACACCACCCGAGCAAATTGTCAATGTAATCACACATCGACTCACTGCGTAATACAGATCTGATTCCCAGCCCCAGAAAACGAGGCCCTGCTTTAAGCAATAGCAAAGTGCCTTCCATCTGTCTGCCTATGCAATCTGCCAGAAGAGAAATGCAGGCAAAGACGTTCCCCAGATCTGAAATGCTTTTATCTGTCCTTAGAGAGAGATTTCTTCCAGTCTTTGGATATTAGAACGATCTACACTAGCACGGAGGAGGTAAAAGGCCGCGGGTTGCTTTTCCAGGAGCAGTCGGTAGTGCTAGCGGAAGAGATGTTGATTGAGAAAATAGGGCTTGTTGCAATGCTGCCGCTACTGCTGCTGTCGCTGCCGCTGCTCAGGCAGCAGGCGTGGGGCAGTTGGCTGATCACTGATGCATATCAATAACCATGTACTTGAGATTTCTCATGACATCATCATTACCTTGGTCTCCCGCGGTCTCGAACCTTTGACCTTGCCGGGCTCGTCCACAATTTGGCAGTGAAAGCCCCTCCAATGATGGCCCTTTTCTCCTTCTTTCAGACCGGGGGCAGCAGCAGGCCAGCAAGACGGCATCTTCTCCTTCCCAGCCTAGAAGCCCTGTGAAATCGAGGATCTTCCCCCTAAAACACACACACACAAGATATGTGCAATCAAGCTGCCACCACTTGGTAAAAAGCTCATGGTGCCTAACCAAAAAGGATCAGGAGCAGATCCTTGAATCAGCTGTCACTTCTATAGAATGGGATGTTTTTTTTTCTTCCTCCTTAACCTGCGCTGGAAATTGCCGTTGGCTTTATACATCTCTATAGAGAGAGGCTAAAGAGTCTTGCCTGAGAAAGAAGCAATTTACAATGCAAATAGAGGCCTGTGAAGGGACGGATGCTGCTGCTCACTCGTAACAGCTTGCTGCACCTTAATAGCTGGTTTTATTTTCTGATATTAATAGATGAATTGTTGGCTAACGCTGCCGGAGATTACTTGCTGAAAGAAAAAAAAAGTTCGGAATAAACTCTTGAAGGCAACAGATCTCATTTGGATGTTTTGCAGCGCGCACACACAAACAGAAACCAGGTCATATTTACATAAAAGAGGAATCTTAAGCGTGGCAAGTATCCTGGACGACTACTCTTCAGTACTGCCAGAAAGGATCGGGACCTGGAGTCTGGCAAGAGGAAGACTGAGGCCTGTGTGGGAAGCGAGTTGTTATCTTTGGTTATCTAGCTGTATGAGTGTATTGGTCTTCATAAAGCTAGATAACCGAAAGTAAAAACTCCTTCAAGATCGCCGGGGAGCGTGTGAGAATGAAAGACTACAACCGAGAGACAGTAAAAACCAGAAAGGTCAGGAATACTTATTGAATCTAACTTTTTGTTTTTGTTTTTGTTTCTTATGATTAAATGTGGGATGAAAGGAAATTAAGTGACACACATATGCGAAAATATGAAGGTGCCAGATATATCTTGAGAGGGGTTGTGGCAGCTGCAAAGGAGAATTGTATAGTGCTAATGAGTAAAGATGCATGTGCAATTTGTTCTATTTTAAGGCAAAAGTTTATATATGAGAGATTTTTTTTTTCTCAGAAAGCTGTTGCAGAGATGCCTGGTACCTAGTTTAAAAATGATTCCATAATATGTAGAACCTGGGCAGTTTCCTTCTGAGGCCCCTCCCCCTCAAAATTTGAAGATTGTGCTTGAAAATTACTTTACATGTATTTGGGCTGCATGTCAATTTGTACGAAATTAGACATTCAGAGAAGTTTATACTGGAAGGTTAATAATTTATATCTACTGAGGATTTAGAGCTAGCAGGCAAAATGAAAAAAAAAAAAAAAAGCAAGAGCTGATTTTTATTCTTCTATTCAAAATACAAGGACAGATGCTTCTCTGTTCCAAGAGGGTTTCCTTGAGGAAGCTACTGAAGCAGAAAGACATGATGGAGACGAGATCGCCTCCCCTCTTGTCAAAGTGTTAAAAAAATGTTCTGTCTTACTCTGCGCCTAGCATTGGAAATGAAAGTGACATTTACGCCACAACCCACGTGTGCGCCTCCTCTCTTTTTGTTTAAGGATGATCAGGTCTATCCAGGAA